TAAATTATACAAAAATTCTTTTTAGAAATTCAATTAATTTTCAAGAAATTACATTGCAATATTTATAAAAAAAATATTTATAAAAATATTTAAAAATATTTATAAACTAATTCTTCGAATTGTTTTAACATAATTTTTAAGATTCAATTAACTTTGAACAAATTTTTGAAAATTTACTTTTTTAGACTTATTAAAATTTTGGATAAATCAAATTTTAATTCAAATTTTTCAAATTTTGATTATTTTTTTATATTTTTTAAAAACTCAATTATTTTTCAAAGATTTTATCAAATTTCAATTATCTTTTAAAGATTTTACGAAATTTGAAATTTTTTGGAAATATTTTTATTGTATGGAATTGTAAAAATATTGTCTTTCAAAAATTATTTAGAAATATTTTTAAAAAGTTAATTTTACGATTTTCTTTTAAAAATTTTTTGAAAATATTCTACTTTAATATCTTTAAAAAGAAAAATGTACGTTTTCCATTATTATAAAAAATTGAATTTTTGTATTCAAATAATTGAATTCTCGAAGAACTTTCGAAAAATGATTAAATATTAAATATAGATATTTGATTTAGAGATAATGAAGTTTAGTTAAAAATTGTAGAAAATAATTGAATTTTTCGAAGGGTTATAGTTTTATTTTTTAGAAATGATTAAATTTCAGAAGTTCAAATTTTTTAAATTTTATTTCCTCTAAAAAAAGAAATAAGTATTAAAATATTTATTTAGAAAAATTTTTGCTCGTTAAAGTCGATCCGAGGCCTGAAATATTGATAAATAAAAAATGCTCTAATTATAATTTAAATTATAATAATATACTAATAGCAATAATAATAATAATAATATTATAATTATAACTGCATTTATATTAATCTTAAATTTTTATCAAAACTGGCGTTAAGTTTTGATGATCGCAAAAGTTTTTTTCTATTTATTTATTTCAATAGATACCTTAAATTTTCTTATATTATAAAAAATATGTACAATTTATATATATATTTTTTATTTAAATGATTTTCTTTTTCAATTATAATTGAAGTGATTATACTGATACTATTTATACTATCAATGAATTCTAATTTAGGATAGAAATTTCTAGTCACGCCCTCTTGCAAATGAGGTACATTTTTTTTCCTGTGTTTCTTCCTGGTTCAGTGAACGAAGTAAAAAATAAATAAATCGCCTTTGGTTCAGAGTTGGTCCACAATCAGATTTAGTGATGTGGGATTTTCCGAACGTGACACAAGATTCTGTAAGGGCATTTTGAGAAGTTGTCAACCTCTTTTTCTTTTTTGCTTCATGGGGAAAGAAATTTTTTTTATTTTATTTTGTTTGAAATATGACAAATTTTCCATAATATAAAAATATAATTATAATAATATAATTAATAAATATAATTTTCTATAATAGAAAAAATATCAATTTTTTACTTTTTACATATTTTAATTTTTTATTTTGTTTTTTAAACAATCCATTAAAAATGATAGTGAATTGGAAGTTTTCGATTTGAATTTTTTAAGTTTGAATTTCATCATTATGAGAGGTCGATTTTTCAAGTTGCACTTGTGTATGTATGCAAATTTTTCGCAAAAGCTATGTTGAAAGTTTTCTTCTTTACTTTGAGAAAAAGTTGTTGTGTTATGCAGTTATTTGCCAATTTCACCACTAAATTGTTTAACTTTGAGTTTAAAGAAAATATGTAAATAAATTGACGGATTAATATTTTCTTTTTCTCTCTCTTTCTCTCTCCTTCTCTCGAAATTTCCAAAGGAAAACTGTCTGAAGTTTACTTTAAACTTTAAATATTTAAACGGGGTAAATTTTTCAAATTAAATGCACTTTCAGTTTTTAGAGCTTTCAATGAAAAGTTTTTTAATCTACTTAACATTGAACTATTTTCATTTTCCGATAATTTAGTTTTTTGAAGTATTTTTAAATAAACCGGTATTATTAATTTACATTACAATTTGTAATATATTAATATTTGTTTTATTTTGTTTTTGGTTTATTAGTTTGTTTAGATTTTATTTTTCTTTTGTAATTTAATTAATAAAAAAAAATTGTTGATTTGAAAAATAAGATAAAAATAATATCTTAGGACGAAAATTTCGAGTTTTGCATTCGTATCTGAAATGTCGATAAATTTAATTATAATCGTTAGACTTACAGGGCGTGACTAAGGAGTTTCTTATCTGAATTTCTAATGTATTGAAATTATTTATACTGAATTTTTATTTAGCCGAATTTCAGAAAATCAATTAATGAATAAATACTTTTTTCGACTATTTTTACTTATTTTTCAAAATTACTACTTTTTTCGACTTTTCTTTCAAATATTGCAACAAATTAAAATTGAATTTAAAAATCAGTGAAAAATCAGGAAAACAGGGCTCGAAGTAGGTCCGTAACTTTGCTTGAAGTCCGTAAAAGTCCGTTTTTTTGAAAAAAGGTCCGTAAAGTCTGTAATTTCATTCAAAAAGGATGAAAAGTTCGTAAATTGTAAGATATAATTTTGAGAATTTTAGAGAAATTACAAATGATTGCAGAAATTCAAATATTTATTAAAGTAATAAAATTCTTCGCAAAAATTCAATTATGTACAAAATTTTTTTTAAATTCTCGTCAAAATTTCAATTATTATCTTTAGAAATATTAAAATTCTTCTCAGAAATTCAATTATTTTCAAAAAATCTAAAAAACATTGTTAACATTTCAATTATCTTTATAAATAAATAAATAGCACAATTCTTCGACAAAATTCAATTATTTTCAAAAATTTTATTAAAATTCATTACAAAATTTTAATTATTTTCATAATTAACAATATTTATCACACACGAATTCAATTATGTTCAAAAATTTTTAACAATTCTCGTCAAAATTTCAATTATCTTTAGAAATATTAAAATTCTTTTCCGAAATTCAATTATTTTCAAAAAATCTAAAAAAAAATGGTCAAAACATCTCAATTATCTTTATAAATAAATAGCAAAATTCTTCGACAAAATTCAATTTATTATTTTCAAAAATTTTAATAAAATCCATTGCAAAATTTCAATTATTTTCAAAAGTAATAATATTCTTCGCAAAAATTAAATATTGTTCAATATATCTACTATTTTCATAAAATTTACCAAAAGAATTTAATTATTTAAAAAAAGAATTTTAATAAAATTCTACAAAAACTTTTCTTTATTTTCAAAAAATAATAAAAATTTCACAAAAATTTCATTAATAACAAATTTTTTTTTATAAATTTCTTCGCACTCATTCAACTATTTTCGTAAATAATAAAATTTTTACGGGGATTTAATTATTTTCGTAAATAATAAAATTCTTTTTAGGAATTTAATTATTTTCAATAGAATTTTAATCGAATTCCTCGAAAAAATTATTTAAAAATTTTATGAAAATTCGTCAAAAGAATTTAATTATTTAAAAATTTGTTGATAAAATTTTTAATGGGAATTGAATTCTAAGAAACATTTAATTATTCAATAAATTATTTATTTTTGTATTTAAATAAAATTGAATTCTGGTATAATTTTCTCGTAAACATTGATTTAAAAATAGATTTTAGTTAAAATCTTAGATTATAATAATTGAATTCTTTCGAAGAATTTCATTAAAAGAATTTCATTAAAATTTTAAAAATTATTGAATTTTATCGAGACATTTTTTAAAAATTGTCTTAAAAATAATTGAATTTCTACCAAACAAAAGTTTTATGAAAACATTTTAAAATGTTTGAATTTCTGCTAAAATTCTAATATTTTTGAAAATAATTGAATTCTTGCGAAGAATTTTATTAAGACTTTTGAAAATAATTGAATATCTGCAAAGATTTTTATTATTTTACGAAAATATTTAAATTCTTGCGAAAAATTTTATTAAAATTTCTGAAAGTAATTGAATATCTGCTAAAAATTTTATTATTTTTCATTTATGCCAAGAATTTTATTAAAATTTTTAAAAATAATTGAATTCCTGTTAATTTTTTACAAGAATTTAATTATTTTTGAAAATTTTAATTTAAATTCTTCGCAAGAATTCAATTATTTTCATGAATAATAAAATTCAATGCAGAATTTCAATTATTTTATTTAGTTTTAATACAATTTTAATGGAATTTCTCAAAAAATGTAATTATTTCTAAAAATTTTATTAAAAATTCGTTGATAGAATTCAATTATTTGAAAATTTGTTGATAACGATTTTTTATGGGAATTGAATTTCAAGAAACGTTCAATTATTCAATAAATTATTTATTTGCATTTTTGCATTTAAATTTGTATTTAAATAATTGAATTCTAGTAGAATTTTCTAATAAAAATTGATTTTCATTTCATAAAAATGAATTTCAGTTAAAATTTTAGATAATAATTGAATATTAAATGCAATAGAGCGTGAATTTTAAAAAATAATTGAATTTTGTAATTAATTTTTTTGAAAAAGTTTAATTGAGTTGTTTTAATATTATTTTGAGTTTCTATTTTCTAATATTTATTTAATATTAAAGAATTTACGAATAATTGAAATTTCGTAAAATTGAATATTGTAAAGATATGAATTTGAAAATTGTCATAGAATTTTTTCGAAAATTTAAAAAAATAATCGAAGAATTTTAGTTTTAAATTCTTAAAAATAATAATTAAATTGATAATGATTTTACTTATAAATTATTTTTATTAATAATTATTATTAATTATTATAAAACATGAAGAAATTGATGACTTCGCGTCGGAGACTCGGAGTTATCGATTTCTTCATGTTTTATAGTTGTGAAAAATTGAATTTCTAGTTTTAAGTAAAATGTTCTCTTATTTGATTCGGCCTGATTCTATTTTTATCAGTTGGTCCGTAAAGTCCGTATTTTTAAATACTTTCACTGCTTCGAGCCCTGGGAAAATAGAAAATAAATTTTTTGTGATAACATTGAAATAAATAACCGACTTTTTGCGCCTTAAAGTCGATCCTTGGCCTGTAAATAAAAATTTCGATGAAAATTGTCAAAAATTATTATTTTTAGGACATAAAAATTCAGCTAAATAAATAATTGTATTTTAAAGGATAAATTTTGAATTGAGATATAATGAAAAATAATATGAAACTAAAGTAGAACAGTCTCGGTCACTTCCTTTTTGCTCCATCCATTTTGCGTTGATATCCTTGACACTTGACTTGGACTCCTAACAGGACTCCTCGCTGGATAATAAACACATGGACCGGGTCCATCAGATCTTATTGAACCCTTAATACTTTGTCTTGTACAACCATTGGTCATTTGACTGCTATTATTATTGTTATTATTACTTCGATAATTATTGCACAATCTATGACTTCGTCTTATTGAATTTCTCAATTCAATATTTGTTGTATTTGTCACAATAGACTCGTCGTATGTTTGAAATTCAGGACTATCGCGACCATGACCAAATAATCTTGAACTACAAAAGAGTTTTAGGAATATTCTCTTGAATTTCCTGCCAAATATCACGTAAATTATAAAATTGATACTACTATTAATTGTCACGAGTAAATTTCCAATTTGCACCATCCACACTGGTGGATTTGTGTAGAGATTCTCGTAGACATTGCTCACCATTGGCAAAATATTGCATATGATGAATACAATCACGACACAAATCAGCATCATTGCCAGGCCTATTTCTCGTCGTTGATGTCTAGACATGTGTTGCAAGTCTCTGTTTGCCTTTCGCACCTGAAAATCAAATCGTATTTTTAACATTTTTCTCAAATTATCATCATCATCATCATTATGATTATTATTGTTGCTCAGAATTACAATTATTATTTTCATTGTGAATTATTATTACTATTATTATTACTATTACAGGGCTCGAACTATGTAAATTTACTTTAAATCCGTAAAAGTCCGTTTTTTTAAAAAAGGTCCGTAAAGTCCGTAATTTGATTGAGAAAAGACGAAAAGTTCGTAAATTGTACTATATAATTTGGAGAATTTTAGAGAAATTACAAATTATTGCAAAAATTTGATTATTTTCAAAAGTAATAAAATTTTTCGCAAAAATTCAATTATGTTCAAAAATTCTTAAAAATTCTCGCCAAAATTCAATTATCTTTAACAATAATAAAATTCTTCTCCAAATTTCAATTATTTTCAAAAATTTCAATCTTTGCAAAATTTCAATTATTTTCAAAAAATCTTCCTCAATTCAATGACGTTCAATATCTACTATTTTAATAAAATTTTCCAAAATAATTCAATTATTTAAAAGAATTTAAATAAAATTCTACGCGAAAATTTAATTGTTTTCATAAAATAATAACAATTTCACAGGAATTCAATTATTTACAAATTTTTTATAAATTTCTTCGCAATAATTCAACTATTTTGATAAATAATAAAAGTTTTACAGGGATTCAATTATTTTCGTACAAAATAAAATTATTGTAGAGGAATTCAATTTTTTTCATAAATAATAAAACTCATTTCATTGCAGAATTTCAATTATTTTTAATACAATTTTAATCGAATTCCACGAAAAATGTAATTATTCTTAAAAATGTTATTAAAATTTGTCAAGAGAATTCAATTATTTAAAAATTTGTTGATTGAATTCTTTATGAGAATTCAATTTCAAGAAACAATCAAATATTCAATAAATTTTATTTTTTGTATTTAAATAATTGAGTTCTAGTAGAATTTTCTAATAAAAATTGATTTTTAAAAATGAATTTCTGTTAAAAACAAATGAATTTGAAAATTTTTAAATACCCAATGGGAAGTAAACGATTGGTTCAATAATGGGCCATGCTTGGCGAACTCCGTTCCATTATTGGAACATTAATGGCAACCATCATTGGACCACCAATGGTTTAAACTTGGGATGATCACGCTACTGCCAATGATCGGTAGCCAAGCATCGGGCCAATATTAGTTGCCAAGGAATTGCCAAGGAGACAAAATCGATTTTCAAAAGCTTGATTTTTTATTGGCAGCCAACAAAAAACCAAGGTTTTGAAAATTGATTTTTTTTAATTATTAATTAAAATTTATTTTTAAAAAATATATTTTTCAAAAATTTATTTTAAAAAAATATATTTTTTAAAAATATATATTTTTTTAAATTAATAGAACATATTAATTTAATTTGTCACCTCTGGTAAAACAAAGATGAAAGACTGATAAATTCCCTCACTTTATATTTTACAGTGGAGGGATAACTGTGAATGTCTTTGCGAGAGAGGAGCAGGTACTTATATAGAGCCAGTGAAACAGGTCACAAGCGAGAAGAAATCACTAGCATGCACTCTGGCGGCGCTTGTCGGAACTGTTTTCTGGCGCGCATGCATATCCTGACATTATCGACGCAGCGCTTGGCAACCAACGTTGCGCCACTTCCGACATGCGCCGCCAGAGTGCATGCTAGTGATTTGTTCTCGCTTGTGACCTTTCTCACTGGCTCTATATAAGTACCTGCTCCTCTCTCGCAAAGACATTCACAGTCATCCCTCCACTGTAAGATATAAAGTGAGGGAATTTATCAGTCTTTCATCTTTGTTTTACCAGAGGTGACAAATTAAATTAATATGTTCTATTAATTTAAAAAAATATATATTTTTGAAAAATATATTTTTTTAAAATTAATTTTTGAAAAATATATTTTTTAAAAATAAATTTTAATTAATAATTAAAAAAAATCAATTTTCAAAACCTTGGTTTTTTGTTGGCTGCCAATAAAAAATCAAGCTTTTGAAAATCGATTTTGTCTCCTTGGCAATTCCTTGGCAACTAATATTGGCCCGATGCTTGGCTACCGATCATTGGCAGTAGCGTGATCATCCCAAGTTTAAACCATTGGTGGTCCAATGATGGTTGCCAATTGTTTTGCCAAGAAAAAACCATTGGGTACCAAGCATGGCCCATTATTGAACCAATCGTTAACATTGGCAACTTCCCGTTGGGTAACTTATTCAAAACTTATTAAAAATAATGGATTTATAGAAAAATTATACTTAAAAACACTAAAAATAAATTGAATTTTGAAGAAGTTACAAATTATTGCAGAAATTCAATTGTTTTCAAGAATAATAAAATCCTGCGCAGAAATTTAATTATGTTCAAAAGTAATGAAATTCTTCTTAAGAATTCCATTATTTTTCTAAATAATAAAATTTCACAGGAATTAAATTTTTTTACAAATTTTTTACAAATTTCTTCGCAATAATTACAAAGTTGAAGTCCACAACGTTTATCAACGAAAAAAAATTTATTTAATACTTTCAAATATTATTTTTAATTTAATATTTAATTGTAAAATAATTATTATCAAAATATAAACATCAATCTTTTTTTTCTAAATATTTTTAGGTAAATATTGCTGCGCATTTTTAATTAATTTACTAAGTAAACAATTTTTTTCGTTGATCAACGTTGTGGACTTCAACTTGGTCAATAATTTATTTATTTTCATAAAAATATAATAGAATTTTTTAAAAATATTCAATTATTTTCACAAATAATAAAATTCTTTTTAGAAATACAATTTTTTTCATAAATAATAAAACTCAATGCACAAAATTTCAATTATTTTGTCAAGATAATTCAATTATTTAAAAATTTTTTTGTATTTAAATAATTGAATTCTAGTAGAATAATACAATTTCATAGGCATTAAATTTTCAACATACTTTTCACAAATTTCTTCGCAATAATTCAATTATTTCCATAAATAATAAAATTTTTAAAGGGTTTCAATTATTTTCGTACAAAATAAAATTCTTTATAGGAATTCAATTCTTTTTCTAAATAATAAAACTCAATGCGCATAGAATTTCAATTATTTTAAATAAAATTTTAATTGAATTCCTCGAAAAATGTATTTATTCTTAAAAATTTTATTAATATTTGTCAAGAGAATTCAATTATTTAAAAATTTGTTGATTAATTACTTTATGAGAATTCAATTTTAAGAAACATTCGAATATTCAAAAAATTATTTTTTTTGTATTTAAATAATTGAATTCTAGTAGAATTTTCTAATAAAAGTTGATTTAAAAATGAATTTCTGTTACAAACAATTAAATTTGAATATTCTTAAAAAAACATTTTTAAAAATTATTAAAAATAATGGATTTATAGAAAAATTATACTTAAAAACACTAAAAAGAAATTTAATTTTGAAGAATTTACAAATTATTGCAGAAATTCAATTGTTTTCAAGAGTAATAAAATCCTGCGCATAAATTTTACTATGTTCAAAAGGTAATTCAATTCTTCTTATAGGAATTTAATTATTTTTATAAATAATATAATTTCACAGGAATTAAATTTTTTATTTTTTATAAATTTTTTACAAATTTCTTCGCAAATATTCAATTATTTTCATAAATAATCAATTTTTTACAGGAATTCAATTATTTTCGTACAAAATAAAATTCGTTTTATTTTAGGAATTCAATTATTTTTATAAATATTAAATCTCATCGCAAAATTTTATTAAATTTCGTCAAAAGAATTCAATTATTTAAAAATTTGTTGATAAAATTCTTTATGAGAATTGAATTTGAAGAAACATTCAATTATTCATTAAATTATTTACTTTTGTATTTAAATAATTTAATTCTAGTAGAATTTTCTATAATTAAAATTTATTTAAAAATGAATTTCAGTTAAAATTTGATTTTTGATAAATTTTTATATTTTAACACTTTCTAATAAACAATTGTGTAAAATTTTTCACGACATGAAAAAGCAAATGTCAATAAATTTTAATTTGTAAATTTTGAAAACACATATTTTAATTACTGCGATAATTACTCTCGTATATTTTCGCATCGAAAATAATGTGCGTTATAATTGAATCCGCTAATTAAATATAACGAATATATAAGGGAAAATTTACATAGGTTCAATTAATATTATTTTATTTTTATTACTCAATTATTATTAATATTATTACTATATTAATATTATTATTCTATTATTATTATATTATTTAAATTATTTAAAAGTAAATTATTATCCTTAATTGATAATATTAAAATTATTAATAATCATTTTTTAAAAATATTTGTTTTAGAAATATCAATTTTTATTTATTAATAATTATAAAATGTTATTGTACAAAAAAAATTTTTAATTGGGGGAGAGGAGAGAATCTATTGACTTCCAGAGCAAAGACAAAATTTATCGTTTGTAAGTTCGAGATTAGATGAATGCACGTGGGTCGAATTATATAAGTTTAATGGGGAACTATAGTAACCTTTGAATTTGAAATGATAAGAATAGGAAAAGAAAAAACTATTCAAAAAAAAGACGAGAACTTGAATATATAAAAACACTATTTTGAAATAAATATAAAAAGCAGATAAGTGAAAAGCGTCTGTAATTTTTGAAGAATAGAGAAACGAATATAAAATGGAATTTTTAATTTAAAAAAAAAGTTAAGAAAGTAATTAAAAATTGTAGAATTTTGAAATTATATTCTAATTAATAGTTTATACAAAGCGAAAACAAATTTCTTTTTACAATACTCAGAAAGTATAAAATTGAAGTTAACTTTTAAATTTTCTTTTCTTCAATATCCTTCAGAATTTTACAATTTTTGTATAACAAAAATAAAATTTGCCTGGTAATTTTAATTATGTATGATTTTTTTTCTCTGAGAAACTTTTTTCCTGATTTTACGAAAGTTGGTTTTGATTTTAATGTATTTTTTCCTTCTTGCTTTTTCT